TGCCTCCCGAGTGCTGGGATTAAAGGCGTGCGCCACCACCACGTCCATGCCATGGCAACATGAACCACCACCACTCCCACACCGCCCCCACCACCACGCGCCTTTGCCCTCCTACACTCACACACGATAGTAATGAATGAGTAATTTTTTTAAAAATGAAAGTAATTTGACATTGTTTTGGTTGTAAATGTTAGAATAAACTTTGAACCAGCCCCTTCCCCAGAATTGCCATCGCCAAACTCATTTGTCCACTATGACCTTCATCCTGATAGCTGGGGCAAGGCAGTTTCTAAAGATAAAATGGCCTTGTCTGGAGGAACAACTCCAGGAGGGGGGAACTGAAGACTTGCACATAGCCCCAGAAGTGGCATTTAACTTCCCATTCCTCAAACTGCCTCTATAAACCCCAAGTATCCCCTCCGCCTTTGGCAGATACCCCTCTACTGCCATGTCTGCCCCTCTATGTTTGAAATAGAGTCCAGTCTGTTGAGGTCAGTCTCCAGGCTCTTTTCTGCCTCCTGTCCTTTAAGCTGCTTTAGAAATCTAACAGTAAAAAGAAGAAAAGAAGAAACATACTAGATTAGCAAAAGAAATAAGCAATAGAAATAAGAAATCCCAGTGCCTTGTAAAGAGATGAGAAACTTTTGATTTGCAATTAAAGGGGGAGGTGGAGACTGGAGCGATGGTTTGTCAGTTAAGAGCACAGCATACTGCTCTTGGAAAGGATCTGAGTTCAATTAGTTCCCAGCACCCATGTGGGGCTGCTCACAAATGCCTGTAACTCCAGTTACACACAGGGGGATCCAATGCCCTCTTCTTGCCCCTGTAGCAAGCACCTGCACACACATGTGCATAAGCATAACTTAAAATAATAAATCTTCTTTAAAAAAAAATAAAGCTAAGTGTGGCATTATGGGCCTGTAATTCTGCACTGGGTGGTTAAGTGGAGGCAGAAGGGTCAGGAGTGGTGGTGGCACACACCTGTAATCACAGCACTCAGGAGGCAGAGGCAAGCAGATTTCTGCAAATTCAAGGCCAGGCTAACCTACATAGAGGGTTGTAAGACAGCCATAAAGAGACCCTGTCTCAAAAAACAAAACAAAAACCAGGCAAGCTGTAAACTCCTGATCCTACTGCCTCCATTTCTGGAGTGCTGAGATTACAGGCAAGCATTACCACCCTAGCTTCTACAAACAATTTTAGTGTGATTATTCTTTGACCCCGCAAAGCCGCCATTAGAATTACGTCATCCAAGCCAGGCCTTTTGGCATATGCCTTTAATCCCATAACACATGAGGCAGAGGCAGGCAGATCTCTGTGAGTTCCACACCAGCCTGGTCTACAAAAGTAAGTTCTGGGACAGCCAGGGCTGTTTTTACAGAGAAACACTATCTCAAAAAACCTAAAAAAATGCCAGGCGTTGGTGGCACATGCCTTTAATCCCAGCACTCGGGAGGCAGAGGCAGGTGGATCTCTGTGAGTTCAAAGCCAGCCTGGTTTCCAAAGCGAGTTACAGGAAAGGCGCAAAGCTACACAGAGAAACCCTGTCTTGAAAAACCAAAAAAAAAAAAAAGAAAAGAAAAGAAAAAAAAAAGAAAAAGAAAAAAAGTTGTATCATCCTGAAAACCTCAGCCATAGAATAGATTAGATGCAGAGATACCCAACAAAGATGCTTCCTGAACTCAATGGCAAAGGCTCACAGGTCGGTGCCAGAGGCTGGTTAGATAAAACATGAATCATCCCAACAATGTGGAAGACTGGGCACCCCTGAGAAAGGAGGGGCCTGTGTGCACACTGGGGCCTTGAACTGCACATGACCCACCAGCAGAGGGAGAAATGCAGATTACAGTGTTTTAAACAGCCCGTAAGAAGCTTTGATATGTATCTAAAACTGAAAGGTAGGCTGGGGAGATGGTTTAGTGACCAGAGTTCAGATCCCCAGAACCCTCATAAAACGTTGGGTGGGAGTAGCCACCTGCCTGTACAAGACAGGGGATCCCCAAAGACGCTGTCTAGGGAAACTGTCCACATTAGATAACTCTGGGCGATTGGGAAACCCTGCCTCAATGCATAAGGTGAAAGCCATGGGAGGTGGTTCAACTTGACTCTGCTTGGCAGGATTCAGTAGAGGAGGTGGCCCTGCCCAGTGGGGCCACATGGAGCACAGGCTGGGATCTGGGAGCCTGGTGAGGCTTCCCTAACTCTGTAGATACTCTTTATGTTAGCCCTTGAGGTTTTTTTTTTTTTTTTTTTTAGAACTGATCCCTGAGTTCCTTAAATTGGCTGTTTTTCAGCTTATAATCTCGCAGCCGAGGAAACGAAGACACATACACAAATACATGTGGGATAGGACATACAAGTGAGCAAAGAAGAGATCCTCGGGCTGAAGACCATCTCTGAAGATTTGACCTGACCAGAGGAAACTGCTGAAGAGACCCAGGGAACACTGTTCCAGGGCAAAAGCACACTTACAAAGCCACATGCCAGGAGGGTCTGTGGCCTCGGGGGAAGCTGAAAGGACAGTGGTGTATGTGCTGGACAGAGTGCGCTGGACAGGATGTAGCAATCAGCCAGTCTTTGTAACATGAGTCTTAAAAGATCTCATAACAACAAAACAAAAACAAAAACAAAATAGAGCCAGATATTGGGGTGAAAACTGAAAGATCAGAGAAACAGAACAAGCCACAGCCAGCCTCACCTCACCAACTCCTCAGCCGATCCTGTTTCCACAAATCCTCAGACCGAAAGCCTCTGAGTCCTCACCCCTGAGGGTCTCAGCTGAACTGCTTTAGTTCCTGTCTCTCACGCCTTGTATTCTGTTCTCCACCCAGCCATGTCACTTCCTGGGATTAAAGGCATGTGCCACCACCGCCCATCAGAAAACACTTCTAATATAAGCATTCAGGAGACTGAGGCAGGAGGATTGCCAGTAACGAGCTCCTACTAGCACACAAGGGTCGGGTGTGGTGGCACATACCTTTAATTCCTGAACTCAGGAGACAGAGGCCCACAGATCTCTGAGTTCAAGGACAACGTGGTCTACCTAGGGAGCCAGGACAGCCTTGGCTACACAGTGAGACCCCCACTAAATAAAAGAACAGAAAGATCCAAAAACAGGGGGGACCAGGAGTATAGCTTGGTGGTAGGGTGCTTGCTTAGTATGTACAAGGCCCTGGGTTCAACCCCAGCATTGTAACCACCATTGTCACCATCGTCACCATCGCCACCCATATATACACAAAACAAGCAAAATGTAATAAAAAAAAAAAAACACAAAACTTAAAGGGGCCGGTGAGACAGCTCAGAGGTAAAGGCAGTGGCCACCACACCTGAGTGTTACACTCAGGACCCACATGATGGAACGAGAGAATCCGTTCCTGCAGGTTGTCTTTAATTTACACACTGTGGCATGTGCATACACAGCTCCACATGCATGCACGCACACTAAATAAATAAATGTAATAATTTTTAAAACACAAGATACAGAGGACCAGATGTGGTGGTGAGTGCCTGCAATTCCAGCACCTGGGAGGTAAAGGCAGGGGCATCCGTTCCAGGTTATTCTCTGTTCCACAGCAAGCTTGAGACATGTCTGGGCTACATAAGACCATAAGATCCAGCCTCAAAACAAAGGTCACTGTGGTTGAGAACTGAAAACAAACTGGAGAGGGACAGAGCTGGGAGATGTCAGTGTTGCGGCGGTATGTGCCAGGGCGGTGGAAATGTTCAGAAAGAATGAAGATCTGGCAGGCAGACCTTCGAGCTTGCGCTGGACTGGACTCAGCACCAAGGAGGATCGAGGACACACTGGTGTCACAGGGTGGATGCTGCTGCCGCTGTGGGAGAGGGGCAGGTTTGGACATGCCTAACTGAGCTTCACAGGAGCCCAGAGTTACATAGTTCTAAAGCTTACTTAGAGCAAGTCTGGGCACAGAGCTCTGGGAGCTATGGCTCCCTGCCAGAGATTCCATTGCTTATTATTCTAACGTCTGACCTCTGAACCCTAACCCATCAATGTCTGTCTTAATCTTAAGGCAGTAGTCTGACCTTCGTAGCTTTAACAAGACTGTCAGATTGGTGACCTGGGCCCTGAGAGCCCATTAATTCAACCTCAGATTAAATTATCTTTACTGTGTCTTCTCATTATCTATTTGGCTCACTTTGTGAATAGCGTCAGCCAAAACCCCAGGGTCCTTATTTCACAGGAACCGCTATAAAGATGGGGCCATTTTCTCCAAACCTGAAACTAGATTTTTTTGTTGTTGTTGTTATTGTTTTTTGCAATCATCCAAAATGAACTCTAAGGCTTTCACAGTGGGTGCAGGCTGTCCTCATAGGCCTGAGACAATCCAGGCTCATAGTTCTGGTTTCTGCCAGACAGCTCATACCCAAGAGGCATGTGCATGCTTTCAAAACCTAACCCAGACATCACCTGGGCCTCCCCAGCCCTTTGGATCCTAGAATTTGGATTAAAAAAAAAAAAGAAATGACACCTTTATTTTTGATACCTCAAACCAAAATCTAGCACTGCTCTTTATGATGAATGAGAGCAAAACTCCTAGTGTTTTCTGAGATACCTGTTGACTTGCAACCGATGGACACCACTATTTATTTGTTTGTTTTTAATTATTCACTTATGTGCATTGGTGTTTTACCTGTATGTGAAGGTGTTAAAACCCCTAGAACTGGAGTTACAGTCAGTTGTGAGCTGCCATGTAGGTGCTGGGAATTGAACCTGAGTCCTCTGGAAGAGATCCAATAACCACTGAACCATCTCTCTCCAGACCCCAATGGGCATCACTATTTATATTCTTTCTGCAGAGCATCCCAGTGGACAGGGCCCTCATGGCCTCACTGCATGGGCCTGGATTATGTGACAACAGACCAATGCTCAGTTACACATGCAGGATGTTGGACATGGACTGGGGAAATAAAGACAGTGGGCTGGGAGGGAGGGGAGGAGGCAGACACGACCCAAACCCCAGGAATGCACCCACAGCTGTGGAAAAACTCAACTTTTATTATTACCTGCCTAGTGCAGGAGATTAAAATTGCCTCAAGCTAAGTCCATATATTAGTGTAAAAATCTGTGTCTCTCCCCCCAAAAATGTACAAACCCACGTGATTATAGAAAAACCAATGTGGTAGCTACAATAGAGATTCCCCACCCCCAGCCTTGGGCTATGGATCCCTCTGTCCCCCATCCTAGTATTTACTCCACAGAAACATATAGGCTTTGAGAAGTCCTAGCTGCAGTTCAGCCGGTGGGAAGGAGGGGTGTGTGATGAGGATCAGGACAGGATCACCCCAGGTCCAGTGTGTCGGGGGCGGGGATCAGAAGGAAGCCAGGGCTGAGGACCACCGTAGGGGTTAGGTTTCCTTGTCCACCTCATTCCCCAGTTTCTCAGCTGGCAGTGTCCAGTGTGTGACAGGAAGGAGGCCGGGGGCACAGCCACCTCCCCAGGAACCAGTGTTGTCCAGTGGGGCCCAGGTGCTCCAGGGGGCCTTGTCCAGTGTGCGCCCTGCATGTGTCCCCATTCTTCCCCAGGGGATGGCTGGAAGAAGTCAGGCAGGATCCCAACCACAGGGCCAGCTGGGTGGGCGGTGCTCGGGAGATGGAAGGCGAGCAGGAAGGGAGAGTGTCTCCAGCGACAGAAGCTTCCGCTCCTTGGGCAGGCCCAGCCCACCTGCAGAAACGCTGCCTCTTGAGGGACGGCAAGTCAGGGGATGGTGGGGTGGGGTGCCGTGGGCTTCTCTCGTTTTAGTGTCCAGCTTCCCCTGGAGGGCGCCCAGTGGGAAAGGGCTGCAGGGTCCTGAGTTCACACTGTGTTAAGAGCGTCATCTGCCAGGAACCGATGAAGCTGGGCAAAGGGCGGCCGCTGCTCGGGCTCCCGGCTCCAGCACCGCAGCATCAGCTCATAGAGGGTCTGCGGGCAGGCGGGTGGCCGGGACAAGTATACCTGTGGAGGAGAGGCGGGG